GTCCAATGCTTGAACTTTACTCTCTATATTTATGCATTCATTACCTTGTAGATTGAAATGCATCTTTTTGCATAAGTGACAAATGTGAGAAAATTATGGAACGAACTTGCACCACTTTTAGTTTGAATCGTCTTCCATTTTGGGAGAGTTAAAACGCCTCATTTCTCTTTTAGAAAAATTTAAATCTGTAACAGTTTTGAGTTTTGAAGGTTTGAAAGTCTTTGAAGCTTATTTCTTTTTGAAAATTTGAATTGTTTCATTTGAGTCTTCTTTTAAATACTAAAGTGGATGTCTCAAAACGTTACTTTTACGTCATTTTAAATGTTATATTTTCGTTGTTTTGAAAACTTCGAATGCTCTTTTCGAGTCTAATTTACTTGATATTTTGGGAGCTGATTTGATTATTAAATGTTTTTTAGGCTGATTCCCTTGCGATTTTGTCCCTTGCTTAGCTGATTTGTTTCTTTTTTAGATGTGGGTCGGCCTCCCTTTTTCGTTGATTTTTTTTGCAACGGTTAAATTAAAAATGAGAATTTCTGATTTAATTATTTTCAGGATTGATTCACGACCTTAAAAAAATAAAAAGAAACGGGAGGGAATAAAAAAAAAATTTGATACTTAGTCTGTTGAGATGATTGAAACCTAAAGGAAAAATAGAACCATTTACTATTTCTTTTACATAAGAATAAAATTGTAATTATGAGAATTATTGAGAATTGGGAGAAAGTAAGAGCTTAAATGATTCAAGAGTTAAGGGCATAAATTGAAAGATTAGCAGGCTATCAATTAGGACCACTAAGCATTGGATAAACTTTAGTCCAATTGTTTTAATTAGGATTGAAATACATTTCATGAACTTTTTTGCCAAAATTATGGGTTTACCCTCTAGGTCTTAAGAGTGATAGTGAGCTAAGTTTGATCTAAAGATGTTCAAGAATTAGTTGGAAAACACATAATTGAAGATAAACACTTTAAAACACTTCAAACTTAAGTTAAAGCATAGGCCTCTTAGATTTTATGTGCACACTCTAGGTGAGTTCATCTACATAATTTTCAAATAGACACTGAAACTAGGCATGACCCTAATTCACAAGTTAGTTAAAGCAATAAACGGGGTATGCACTAGGCTATGGTTCATGACTGATTTAATTAAATCAAATAATAAAATTCTCTTCATAACTTGACCTAAAATGAAACTCATTGCTTCGGGATTTGAGCTTGAGTCTTACACTCAAATCCTCCTGGCAATTGGGGACATTCTCAATGTCACATATAAATCTCCCACCATTGGTCATTTATATGTGAAATTGTGTTTTGTTTTATTTATTTGTCTTTTCCCTACGATTTGTTTCAAGTCTTTGTGGGTCGATTTCAATTTTTCCTCAGAGCTTCCCATGTGTTACTCCATTTATTCTGTCATACATAAACACATATTTGCCCTGCTAGTTGAATTTGTCTACTATATTGTTACCTGCGACGTTGATCCCATTTACAGGAGAAGCAATAACAAGAAAAATCAGATACCCAAAGTTTATAGAACATTTATAGAACTCTACTGCATTTTCTTATATTGCTTTTATTTATCGCACTTTTACTGTTTTGCATTTATTGTTCTTCATTATAGCATAGTTTATTTATGCATGCTTCAAGTTAACTACAAAACCTTTAGGCTATAGCCTGATTTAGAAGATATACAATAGTAAGTCACCAAATAACAATATTGCACATTCACATATAAGACACTAAACTTCAAAACTACTACTACATGGGACATGGAGCAAATCTTCGTGGGCAGCATAACCAGGATGTAGCGGACGGAAGATGACGATCTACAACGGTACAATAAGTCTATGACAACTAAATATTTTTCTTAGTTTAAATAACCCATAGGACTTCGAGAAAATTTGTTTAGCGCAACGCAAATCCTCACATTATTTTTATGCTTTTGCACAACCCTGTTGTGCAATTATAAATCCTAACACTTTTAGGATTTCGAGGTTACCGTACGGTACGGTGTAAAATTTGTACGATTGTAAGCCCTAAATTCTAAAATAAATTGCACGATTAAACATTGAACAACATCATTTCAAAGACATAAAGCCGAACAATAGGATAGTTGAGAAATCACCAGGATTTCCCCTGGATCTGTGATATTCCCTACTCTTCGCTCATTTGGATTCCTTAAAATAATTGCTCCTATTTGAGCCACTCCCGTTTGATTTTCTCGTGTCCAATCTTGAAAATTTAAACTTTGAAATCTGGAAGGCAGAACGACTGATCTTAATCGAGAGTTTTCTTAAGTGACCCCGGTCATTTAAAATGTAATTAACTATAGGGACTTGCCTCTATAAGGAACTTGGAACCTACTTAAAATAAATTATATCTAACCCTTATATTAGATAAGGGAAGTCGGTCATACATAAAAATGTTTCGCAGACCAAACGAATGTCACAAACTCTTTAGTTTAGGAAACTCTAAACTCTTTAGTTTAGGTGGTTGAGTCTACTGTCAAGTGGTATGTTTATCCTTCGGGATAGTGTATTACTTGTGGTATAACGCTCAGTTATCCAAACTATTCAATATGTGAGACACGTTTGGTCTCATCAATTTTTAAATTAAAATGTTACTTTCAGAAATCATATTAACATCAAAATTATTTTCATATTTTACAAAGATCATCCTTTTTCTTTCCAAAAAAAAATAATAACGGTCGACATACCGTAAAATCCTAAACTTTAAATTCTTGAAAACTATTACCTCTGATCATCATCGAGAGTTTTCTCGAGTGACCCCCGTCATTTGGGATGTAATTAACTATCGAGGCTTGTTTCGATAGAAAACTTGGAACCTAGGTAAAATAAACTCTACTTAATATTTATATTAGATAGAAAAACTTGTCGGTCACACATAAAAAGTTCGCAAACCAAACGGATGTCACAAATCTCTTAGTTTGCAGGATTGGGTTTATCACTGAGGCATACGCTTATCTTTCGGGAATATATAGTATTCGCAGTATCGGACACGATTATAAAAACTATTATACTAATGAGATTCATTTCTCATTTTTCGAAAATTAAAATATACTACTTTCAAAATCTAAACTATAAATCTATTATATTAAATTAAATTTAAAAAAATATTTTCAAATCAAAAAATTGACTGAAAACGTGCACATAGGAAGGAGACTGATAAAAGCTTTGCTTGATTGGAAAAAAAGGGAAGGTAAGGATGACAGTGAGAATAAAGAGTGAAAAAAAAATAAGAAAAAATTAACTTGCGCTTTTTTAATTGTAGAGGGCGAAACAAAGGAGAACAGTGGGGACAAACGAGACTGTGTGAATATCTTTTGTGATTTGTTGAAACAGAAGGGGAACGAGAAACAAGAAAAGAGCAAAAAGAGAGAAATGGAACAAGACAGAGCGAATAAGTGCCAATGAGGAAAGCTCTCCAGTCTGTCTGTTAATAACTGGGAAGCGACGTGAGAGCGGTTAGCATATGTGGGCAGGCTCCAACAGGCGAGATTTAATTTAATTAATATAATCTATTTCTATTTTTTTTTTCTTTTTTCCTTTTTTGGGTTCATCTTCCCCTTTTTTTCATTTTTATGGTCAACATAAACTAGTTAGATACTAATTCAAATTTATTTGATGACTTATTTGTTTAGATTTATAGAATCAAATGTTAACAATCGTAGATGAAAAGCCAAACACTCAAACAAATGTTTAACTTAATTATTAATTTAATGAAGCACTCCTTCGATCAATTCAAATAAGCCAATCACAAGCCATGTACGATTATTTAAAAATTTAAACAAGTCAAGTTTGAACATATATGTAAAAGCATAGTTCAAGCCCAAGCCAAACTTGAACAACTTATAATATAACCAAGCTAAGTCCAATCAATGACGTAGTTGGCTCGATTACAACCCTAATTATTATGTATTACATTATTAAAATCCATTTTTGTTTTCCTCTTCCATTCTAAGCAAACCCAACATATACCTAACTCTTTCCTCGCCAACACCTTTTAGCCGCATAATCCAATGGCTTCTCCAAATGCAAACTGGCCTTAAGCCTTTCGGAACTCACAGCTAGTCATCTACACACCAACATCAACTTTAAAGCACAGAAACCTTCCACCAACCACCGAAGCTCAATCACTTTGTCAACCAAGAATGCCAATGGTTTTTAAGACGAATCAAAAATAACATTCCAACTCTCTGACAACCTTAACAGCTAATTCTTAAGGCCAACCAATAAGACAACAAACCCCTTGTTGCTTCTTGTTGCCCACATACATTATGTTGAACACTTGCCAACCAAAACTTGAATCTGCTGGTCCTAAAGTTAATGCCCACTTTCTCATCTGGCTAGCCGCTACCCCTTCATAATATAACTCCCTTGTCAACCACTACCTCTATCAGTGACCTCATGAACACCCCCATTAGAGAACAAAACCAAGATCATCACCAAGCAAAGAGTATCAAATGATGCATCCTAATCTCAGACAACACGCTTGGGAAGATGTCTTGCAGATCACATAAGGAACTCTCATTCTGTTATAACTTTCCTTTAATTGATGGGTTGCTAGTGCTACCTTTGGACGTTGAATGCATGCCAATATATATAATAGAATATTAGGCAATGAAAGATTTCAGATTTCTGAAATAAAACAAATTGTGAGATTTTTTCAGGTGATTAGAACTAAGTAGTCGATCACATAGTAAGAGGAAACACTTTAATGAGAATTAGGAAATAAAGACGAAATAAATCTCCATGTCCCCCTAGCATTAATTGCCATGAAGCATTAGCACTTAAACATACTAGGAGAAAGAGTTTTTAGCAGTGCCTTAAACAATTTAAAAAATCAACGCTATTAGGATCAAAGGAGGCTAATACCGGCATGCATAAATGGCAAACAGAAGGCAACCTTCATTGTTATAAACGAAAAAATGAATCCCTAAGAGTATGAAATTCCACACATCAGAAAAAAGGAATTACCTGTAACTGCTAGAAATCCATCTTGCCAGTGTATGAGCTTCAGGAGACCCAAGTGGCTGTTTCATACCAAGCTCCCTGCCAAGCCGTGAAGAAGTGATTGCCATTGCAACTCTTTGCACTGAGGCCACCACGCTTCTAGTATATTGACGAGCCATTGCCACAACACTTTCTTGGAGGTGGTTCTCAAATATGAACTGGAACGCTATTGTCAGAACCGACCTCCCATCACTAATAGTCGTGTCAGTGACTATCCTACTTGTTCCACCTGAGCTAACCTCTAAAGTGGAGGCCAAGTCAAGAGTCCTTGTGGCAGGAGTAGAGTCCTGGAACAAAGAATGTAAGGGTGATAATCTGGGCAAATATATATATATAAAGGTCAAAAACTTCAATAAAGAATCCACGAAAGCACCATAACAACCCGGTGGCTCAGAAGTCTACGAGGAAAAAGCAGAAGAATAGATGCAAGGATTTGAGCCTTAGTCAAGTCAGCAATTTGGTGAAGCAGTGTTTTGATATATATATATATATATAGATTATATTTAAGATTTTGAATAGAACAGCACATATCATTGATAGCAGGGTATCTCAACTCAATTATAATAGTCAAAACAAAGAAAAGAAATAAAACATTATAAGACAAAATAGAAAATACATGAGGGAATAAAAATAATAAAAAGAAATAATAAAAATAAGTACTAGGGATATGTTGTTATAAATATAATACTCTCACTCAAGTTGAAACATAGATGTCAGTTCTGTTTAACTTGGATTTGAAATCATCAAACAAAGAACAAGGAAGATTTTGGTGAGAATATCCGTCAGTTAACCACTGGAGAGCACTAGAGGAAAACAAATTTTCTTGGACTCAATTTTTTTCTTAATGAATTGTCTATCAATTTTCACATGTTTGGTGCGATCATGCTGAACTGGATTGTGAGTAATATTGATGACGACCTTACTATCATATAATAGTTGTAGCATGATGGAGGTTGGCACACAAAGTTTGCAAGAGCTTCACAGAGCCCTAAAAATATGGACCGAAATTCTGCTTCGGCATTGCTCCGGGCAACCACAAACTGTTTTTTACTTTTCCACGTGACAAAAGTTTCCCCATACAAATGCGCAATATCCCGACGTGGAACATCGATCATGAACCGACCCGACCCAAACAACATTTGTATAAACAACAATTAATCGAGATGCGTGACAAAAGAAAAACAAACCAAGTGGAGAATCCGGTGAACAGCTTTGAGATGTTGCTTATAGGGGCCATGCATGAAGTTACTAACTATACCAACTGCATGACATATATGGACAAGGTAAATGAGTTTTCCTTTAAGTTGGTAGTGAGTTTTGTTGACAAGTGCGGCATTGAGAATGTCAGCTAATTTTTCATTAGGATCCAAAGGGACAACCACTGGCTTGCACAGAAGAAAGTTGTTCTCAACCAGGAGATCAACCACATATTTGCGTTGAGATAAGCAAATGCCCCAAGATGATCGAGTCATTTCCATGCCTCAAAAGTATAGGAGAGATCCCAAGTCCTTCATTTCAAAGAACTTAGTAAGAATATCTTTCAAGGACACAAATACTGAGAGATTGTTACTTGTAAGTACAATATCGTCAACATAGATAATAAGGACAACTACCTAGCCATTGGATGATTGTTGGAAGTAGAGAGTATGATTCGATTGAGATTGAGTAAAACCATAGCCCGCGATCACCTTTGTTAAATTGTCGAACCAGACCCTTGAGGACTGATTTAGCCCATAGAGGGAGTTTCGTAGCTTGCACACTTGCCCTCTGAAGGTCGTAGAGTCAAAAACCAAGAGAGAGAGACATGTATACCTCTTTTGTAAGTTCTCCATTCAAGAATGCATTCTTGACACCTAGCAGGAATAAAGGTCAATCCAGATTCAACACAAGGGACAACATAACCCGAATAGTGTTTAAGTTGGCCACTGGAGCAAATACTCCTCATAATCAACTCTATAGATTTGAGAGTATTTGACGACTAAGTGTGCCTTGTTGCGTTCAAAAGATCCATCAGAGTTGAACTTGGTGTTAAAAATCTAACGACACCTTACAACTTTCTTACCAGGAGGAAGATCAACAACGTTTCATGTATGGGTTCGTCGAAGAGCATCCATCTCCTGCATTATCACCCTTTTCCAAGCTTAATCAGCAAAAGCAACCTCAATAGTAGTTGGAATCTAATTATCCGTCGGGCAGTAAAAAATGTTCTATAAGTCGGCGTTAAATTACAAAAAGAAACATATTTTGCTATAGAATAGAGAGAGCATGTCTAATTGCATAACTTACTCAGAAAAACTAACCACCTCATTCAAAGGAGAGGTCGTCTGAGGATGTCGTCCAAAGTGGATTCAAGGTCCAGTAAGGATGTAGTGAGTTCCAGAGTAGGAGCATTGGGATTGGTGCGTTAAGTGTAGACACGGATGGTGGGAGGAGATGGCGCACTCACCGGAACAGGGGACTAACTGGATGGTTCACTCACCGAAATAGGAGACTCGTCAGCGGAAGGAACAAAGGGTGTAACATTCATAGGATTAGGGTAAGGGACAATGTCTAAGAACCCAAACTCCTCACTTGAGGTCAACCTAATAAAATAAGGAATACTTTCAAAAAAAAACATTAGCACTCACATAGATTTTGTTAGTGGTAAGATCAAGGTATCGATACATCTTTTAAGTGGCAGAATACCCAAGGAAAATACACTTTATGAATCTGGAATCAAGTTTACTCCGATTGGGGACAGTGTTCTGAACAAAGAAGCACACCCAAAAATCATTGGATCTAATGTGGAGAAGATCCGATTGGCAGGGAAGTATGACACAGAGATGACTAAGGAGGTTTGTTACTTGTGAATTTTAGAAAGAACTATTTATGAGATAGGTGGCTGTGAGAATGACATTGTTCCAAAACTAATTCGGGACATTGGATTGAAACATAATGGAGAGATGAACATCGAGGAGGTGGCGGGTTTTCCCCTCGACTATCTCATTTTGTTGACTGTTCACAAACGAGTTAGGTAGAGGATGTTTTTACTCACTAAGAATTCACCCAAAATAGAGTTGAAAAACTCACAACCATTTTCGGTCCCCAGGACCTGAATAGGAGTTTTGAATTGAGTTAAAACGAAGGTGTAAAAGTTTTGGAAGGTGACAACAACCTCTGATTACTCTTTTAAAATATAGACCCACGTCATCCGAGTGTGATCATCAATCAAAGTCGGGAAACATCATTTATTGGTGTAATTGGGAGTGTAAGAGGGTCACTGTGCATGAGAGAGAAAGGAGCATAACGTGTGTGTGGGGTGTATGAACATGGTAATGTTTAGCTAACTAACATGTCTTACAAATAAAATTAGAAAGGTATTTAGTAGAACACATCAAAGGATAAAATTTTTTTAAGTATTGAAAACTAAGAAGACCTAAACGACAATGCAACCGACAATGCAACCAATGCAACAACATAATGAGACATTCAATAACTCGAGATAAACTACAACTCTTGTGAGGTATGTCGTCACTCTCCGTGCTCTTCTTTCGGAAGCAGTAGAGCCTGACTACCCTCTTAGCAATGATAATCATCCTTCCCGAAATACGATCTTGAAAAACACAACCCTCATAAGAGAAATTAGCAACACAATCAATATAATTCGTCAAGTTGCTAGCAGATAACAAGTTACATTGCAACTATGGAACATGTAAAACAAACTACAGAGTTAAGTAACAACTGACCATTTATCGGTAATGGAATTACAGGAGCGATCGACAATTCAAATGGTATTCTTTATAGAACACGGATCGTAAGTAGAGAAAACTAGTGAGTATCAAGTCATGTGATTCATAGCACATGAATCAATAATTCAAAGACTATATTAGAAATAAACCATGAAAGTCATAGGAAGAGAACCTTGTCACATGTGAGAGGTCGATGGGCTCGTAGAGATTTGATTGGCTTCAAGAAGCTTGATCAATTGCTTCATCTAGTTTTTCAGGAACTCGAAGGACTCTGTGATGCTCCAGATAGGAGTCAATTTAGTTGCGATAGGCCTGCCCGTCGCCGTGAGACCCTTGGTAGCAAAGGTTTTGGTCGAAGGCTTACCGTAAAGTTTACAAAACTTGTCCTGAGTATAGTTGAATTTGTAACAGTAATCAAAAGTGGGGTGATCGGTCTGGGTGGCATGAATGAGGGCTGACACTAAGGCGTGTGATTCGGCTTAAGGAGTAGAAGTGTCGAGCATGACAAGTCTTTAGTTTTCTTCTCGACGAAGCTCAATGAAAGCAGCGCGAGCGGACACATGTAGGGATACCATCGATGAATTCAAGTAGGGTCACCGACAGACGAAATTGCAAGAATTCGTACAACTACAGAGATGTTGGAATGTTGTAGGAATTTTGCTGGGCAAAAACAATTGCACCTGTACAGGAAGGCAAAGGAATTCTGCTGTAGGAATCAACCAGCGGCTTGCACTTGCAGAGGAAGGCAGAGGAGTTCTACTGTAGAGGAATTTTGCTATAGGAATCAATCAGTGGCTTGTACTTGTCGGTATTGTCTTTGATCAGCGACAAGAACGGTATGCAGAGGACGAAGGAATGCATGTTGGACTGATCAGAGACAAGGAGAACTGCAAGAAGCATATGCTAGTCTAGCGTCTTATGCTTAGTTCAGCGGCAAGAAGAGGAACCTGCAGACCTACCAGCTATTGAAGAGACCAACGGCTACAAGAAACCAGCCAGTGGAGCCGGCGGCTAGGAATCCCTACAGAAGGCCCAACAGAGAAGAGCAACAGTGGCATCTACAGAAGGACAGGCGAAGGCCTGGATCTAGGGTTAAGCTTTGATATCATGTTGAGATTTGGAATAGAGCAGAAAATATTATTGATAGAAAGAATTATTGATAGAAGGAAGGGTAATTAAATCCAATTACAATAGGCATAACACAGAAAATAAATAAAACACAATTAATACAAAATAGGAAATACATAATGAGGGAATAAATGTAATAAAAGCTAATAATAAGAATAATGACTAGGTATTTGTTGTTATATATATATATATATATATATAT